TATCTCTAACCAATCGACAAGACTTCCAGGCCCATTCGGTTAGCGAAAAGTGTGAACACAAGGCAACAAAATAAGCACTCACACTGTTATATTTTAAAACTATTTATATGTCTGTTTTTTGCTTGCTTGCATCAGGGTTTGGGATGGAGGCTACCTTGCTGCTGGTAGTTGGTTTTTCACACACAAAAGGCATTGCCATTACATTCCTGGTCCTGGCTGTGGGTTTCTCTGGTTTCGCCATTTCAGGTGAAATATGAAGTGTTCCTTCAAAGATTTTAATCATAAATGATATGTGACTGAAAGTTAAGCAGCTACATAGTTCTGTTTTTATCACAAGATGGTAATAATATTAATGGTTCCTCACAAGGTTTCAATGTCAACCACCTGGACATTGCACCGCGGTATGCTAGTATCCTCATGGGTATCTCCAACGGCGTAGGCACCTTGTCTGGGATGGTCTGCCCACTTATAGTCGGTGCCATGACAAAGCATAAGGTGAGAACTGTTTCTGAATTTGTGACTCTAACTGATAATAATGTGTGCTTGTAAGTGTAATCAACTTTCTCATGGTTCTCTCTCACGTTTTCCTGGTAGACGCGAGAAGAGTGGCAGGGCGTGTTTCTTATTGCCTCACTCGTCCATTATGGAGGTGTTATGTTCTATGGTATGCATAGTCTCCTTTCTTGTGCTTAACCGGATCAACTACAAAAATTCTGAATGAGGAAAATTCAGCAAAACTCTGTATACTTGTCAGCTATAGCAGTCAGTGAGTTTGTGTGTCTGCTGCAGGTATTTTTGCATCTGGAGAGAAACAATCTTGGGCAGAGCCAGAGCAGCTGAGTGACGAGAAATGCGGGATCCTGGACGAGGACGAGCTTGCAAATGAGACGGAAGAACTGTATCGCACAAGCGGTGGAGCGGGCTACGGAGCCACGAACCAGGCATCGGATCCCAACGGAGGGGGCATGGCTGGGGGAGGAGGAGGAGGCTGGGTGTCAGACTGGGACAAAACTGAGGAGTATGTCCAACCAGCCGGAACCAATAATTATCTTTACGGAGGAGAGGGCGACCGAGAGTTATAACGTAAAGCCAGCAGACACAGTTTATCAGCAATGTGGAATTTCACTCAATGGCATTAAAAAACTGGTGGGAATGTGGGGATGGACAATTTTCAGCAGGTCTGACTATTTTATCATAAATTAAGAATTTCACAGAGACTGCACAGTAGAGATGAAGACAGTAGTAAACGTAAAATGTGTTTGTGCATGAGTGCAGTCGTTATACGCTGTGTGGCAGAATGGTGTCACCGGCCCACCTTCAGACATGTCGGAGGACGGCTTTAGGCCTGGTGTGGCGTTCTTTGATGCTTAGTCATTGTAACTGTAGAAACTGGACTGACATGACATGGATTTCATTTCTATGCCTCTTATTTGTATTTTAATCACTCGTGATTACACATCTTTAGGTGCACAATGATCACACTGACTTTTCTTTTTAGGAGAAATTGATATCTATTGTCAGATTAGTTTCAAAGACAAGATTTTTCATAGGGGTGGCCAAGAGAGAAACAACCTGCTGTAGGTTTATGTATTAGTCTTCCTAGTCACATGGTACATTTACTACATAGAATAATAACATATTTGTTTGATTTTTATTTTTCACCCTTATTTGATTTAAAAAACAAAACAAAAAAGATCTGCAACCACCTGTTGAGATACTCTCATTCATGGCAAAACAGGTTTGCTGAAGATATAGTAATTTCTGGATGTAATTTTTCCATTAATATATAGTTGAACATAGCCACCCATGGCCACCCCTTGTCTCTGCCCCTGGCCCCAACAGGTTTTTGTTTTTTTGGTTTTCTTTTTCATTATTGTCCTTAATGTGCACATTTTAGAAAAAAAAATCATGTGCCAATACAACACAATATATAATGTTCTGTAGTATTGGTTTATTCATCCACTGAAAAAGGAACTGAACATCTGCAAATAACACCACATCTGGCTTTCTGGGAAGTCTACATAGACATTTTAGATGCAGTTTTTAACCACTGTATGTAGTGGACTACTACCTTGCCTACTAGCTGTCATACTGTGAAAAAAAGCATATAGGATTAGTTTAAATCTCCAGAACATCAACGTCCTCTTTTAAAATTAGACTCTTAGGTTAGAAACTGTTTTTCTTTCTGTTTCTTTCTGTTTCTATTCTTTCTGTTTCTATTTCTATTTCTAAATAGAAACAGAAAGAAATTTTGCAAAAACAGAATTTTGCTTTGTATGATTAACATCTAATACGTCCTCTATTGGTATTATTTTGTTCTGCTCCATCTGTGTTTGAGGCTGGCATCAGAGGAAGCAGTTTGCTGTCTCCAGTGAAGTGGCAAAGCACAAACAGCACCAAGCTGAGGCTGTGGGATCAGTTTTGTAGCGCTCTCATTTAAAGATGGACTTTAAATTGAATTCATGTGTGTTTAATAATCCATAAAATATCAATTAAAACCAAGACCAGTTAATAAAAATGCTGAAAATCCCAACGGCATTTCTCTGTACAATTTATCTTTGTTAGTACATGTGGTCATGTATCTAGTTAGTCATTAACTAGTAATGGGATGGTACTGTTTACTGATAGGATTGATATTAAATGTTAGGATTTTTACTATTTCTGTCATTTTTCATTCATTTATTGGTAAATGTTCTGTTCTTAATTATAAACTAAATCTATGTGTAAAGGAATGTGGAAAAATACTGAAGAATAAAGCTTAGAGGTGATAGCTTCCACAGTAGTCACAAATCTTTATATTTGGCAGTTTACCCTTATGCATTGCTGCCATTTTAATGTTTTAACCTTTCATATCAGACGGTACAGAGTACGTCTCGCTATAAGTTCATTATTACGCCTGATTTGTACTCCACTGTAAAACAAAACATCTGTTTTCTCCATGTCAGCTCTGTTTCATGCATGATTCAGACACTAAGTATGCAGGTCTTAAACATTCCTGACCCTTGGTTTCATGTTACCCCTAATGCCCTGCTCCATCCCAGACAGAATATTGATCACTGAGCTTAACTGTGAGCATTTGGAAATGAAGCGGAAAAATAGATTTTGACGGCACAGCCGGTAAGAAGCACAAAGCCTTGGGGTCTCTAAAATCAGTGGTATCATCATGCATCCATTTGTGATTGAACATATAACATATTATACAGTATATGATACCTGATAAGCATGCAGCACTGCATCCGGTGTAATTTACTTGCCCTATTGCATGCCAGTATGAATGTTGTGCAGAGGCAAAGGACACAGTAAAGAATGGACTTAAGAGAGCCTGAAGACCTAAAAAAAAATTATGACAGTAAAGGGTCAGCATTAGCTTTCTATTGAAATCAAATATCTTGTGTGTGTGTGTGTGTGTATAAAACCATTACTGGAACTATAGATTTCCTCTATGATCACAGCAATACATTCTAAGTTTTCAAACCACAAACAACGACAAAACATGACATAGCATATTACCATCGTTCACATTTTATTTAGCACAACCAGTAAGAAATGCAGAAGCAGTGTGTTAAATAAGCAACACCCTATTTTTCAGTAGTTTGTAGAATCTCAAGCAGCAGTAACTTGAAGTGTCAACTCACTGGCTGCAAGTTGTCCGTTCTCTGCGGCTTCAAAACAAGCCTAAATCATTACCCCTCCACCTCCGTGCTTGACAATTGGTAAAGTTTTCACATGACTGCAAATTGGATCCTGGTTCAAATAACCTGTGTGGCTCAGACCCCACATTACATCACTTTACATTACAGGGGTTAGGGCTGTGTTCGATAGGGGACAAACATCTTCTCTCTGGTTGTCTGTCCAAAACACATCGTTACAGAAATTGTTTTGCCATCTTTAAACAAATGCATTTTTCATATTCCATGTGAAGACACAGATAAAAAGTAGTTTCGGTCCTGTGTTAAAACTGAAAACACTAACTGTTCAGCTGAGAAACTGTAACAGCTGTAATTTATCACAGATGGGTGTGTTCATCCTTATCACTTAAACACAATCACATAAACACCATGACTAAAGCTGAACATGTTAGATAATTACATAAGGCTATTTTACATATTGTGCTTTTATTTTAAAACCTCAAAGTTTCAAAGCTATGAATTATATTCCTCCCAGCCTTAGTGTCATGGTCTGTGTGCAGGTAGTCAGGAAAAGAAGCAAAGTGCAGAAGTCATGGAGGCAGAAGTTAACTTAACAGAACCTCAGCTTTATTGCTAGCAGAGTACTAAAACTGAAATAACACGGGAACAGAACACAGAGGCAGATACGGTGGTACGACGCAACGCTGAACATATGAAAATACAGACAATAAATACAAGAAGAACACAAGGGAATGAGACCAGATGGGGGACACAGCTGATACAAATTAACTGATGGGACACAAAACTAGAAACATCAACATAAGACACAGACCTTCAAAGTAAAACAGGAAATCCATAGAAAAAACTCAGAGGCACTGAACTAAACTTATATTAAATACTAGAAACTAAAAATTACAATAAAAATACACAAAACACTGGGTCACAGACCCAGGACTGTGACACTTAGACTAGCAGCCTCATACTGTAGCACAGGAGACACTGCAGGACATAAATGAATAAAAAATGACACAAAACATCTTTGTAGTAATAATATTATCTCAAGCCTTTATTCCTGCTATTTGTTTTTTAGCTATTTGTACATATTAACCAGCATCTGCGTGTGGACAGCAGAGAAAGAATTTCATTGTACAGAGAAATGCTTTTTCTTTACACACATGACAATAAACGCTTTAAATCTTTGAATCTTGAATCGTGTACAGTCTTTCAGCACAGAATATTAAATAATCTACCGTATGTACAAAAACAACAACAAAAAACCCTGAAAGCAAATGCAAAACGTTTCCAAAACAAAAAAAAAATCCCGTAAAGGCAAAACTTTTTTTCCTTTTAACACGACTCAAAATGAAAAAAAAAAAAAATCTTAATGTCTCATTCCAGCATTTCAGAAGAGAAAAAGAAATAAAACAATGTCAATAAAACCGGTCAAATAGCATCTCAATTTACTGGTTGCAATACATTTAGCCACAATACATCTGCGTTGTATGTGTGATTTTATTGAGAGAAAAATGTTATTGATATTAAATGGTTGAATATAGGACGCTAAGCAAGGGTTCGTTTACACTAAGCATAAATTTGTGATTAACTGATTTATACTAAATGGTGGAAACCGATAAAAGACGAGAAACACAAAGTACTTCAATCGTGTTGCCTTCAAAATAGAAATTCAGCAACATGACAACAAGCTGATCCGTTATAATCAGCATGACTTTAAAAAGACAAATAATGGTGTGAAGATGATTCATTTTTGTACGAGGAATAGTTTAAAAAAAATTAAAAACTGACCGTGGAGCTTGACTCACTGTTGCCTGTACTCTCAGGCTGTAGCTTCCATACTCAAAAAATGATGATACCATTTTTGTAAAACAGTTTATCTGAAATTGACCTGTCAAAATATTACATAGTATCAATTAAGAAAGTGGCTTAAGTGCTAAAAGGAATCTCACAGTGCAAAATATTTATCCCATTGCTGATGAGCTAATTTATTTATATTTTTGTATATATCACAAAGAAAAACACAGCTTTCAGAAATGCTCATTATACAGTACAGTAAAAATATGATGGAGAAATCTAAATCATGTGATAATGCCTAAACTAGATGAATGAATAATGTGCAATGATGTAAGCAGAAACGCTAGTGAGCACTGCAAATATTAGCTTGTAGCATCAAAGCTGAAGGACATGATCAGTTAATAAAGCAGACTATTTGTAGACATTAAACTGAATGTAAAGTGTGGATGTGTTGCTTGTTTGTTGACTTGGTGTCACAAAGTGTTTGCTGCTCTTTTGGATTTTGCTGAAATTTTACTCTGTATCATTTGATTTAATTAATATATTAGAAACATTTCTCCCTGCCATTGAAAAAATTGTTATTGTAAAAACCTCACTCTAGCTGTTCCCTACAGTCTCTCACAGATTTATTTTCATTACTTATTATTGATTGTCAATCTGTATTGACACTTTCACGCCTGAAAGACTCCTGGAGTTTGTCAGATTTCTTAAACATTCATTCAAATCAAGGAATCTTAACTTTGAGATCGAGATCAACACATCTGCATGGTTTAGGTTTGCAGCATTAAACCTGTTTCTCCTGCAGTGGCGCAGCGCCTTTTTTATTCATTCGCCCGCTGTTGCAGACTCACTGGGCTTATCCTTCTTCCCTACTGCTTCATATCCACCCTCTCCGCCTGCTGCACCCTCCACCCCTAAAGTGTGGTATACCTGCTCTTTTATTTCGCCTTTCTTCAGTGCTTCGTATCCACCCTCTCCGCCTGCTGCACCCTCCACCCCTAAAGTGTGGTATACCCCCTCTTTCATTTCGCCTTTCTTCAGTGCTTCGTATCCACCCTCTCCACCCGCCGCCCCTTCCGCCCCTAAAGTGTGGTATACCCCCTCTTTCATTTCGCCTTTCTTCAGTGGTTCATATTCGCCACCTTTCGGCTCTCCGCCTGATGCTCCTGCAAGGGTGTCGTACTCTCGCTCCCTCCCAGATGCCTTCTCCAGAGTTTCATACTTGTCATCACCTCGCTCTTTTGATCTCAGTGCCACATCCTCATAAATCCGCCCTGAGAAAAGTACGGCATGCAGTGTGGTATGAATACAGTGACTGTTACCATACCTAAAAAACAGTAAACAATCCAAAGAAACAAAAAAAATGCTACTCACCTCCGTCACTTCTTCTCCTACGTCGTAAACCTACCACCACTATCACCACCAACATCCCCACCAATACCAACAATATTCCCAACACCATCCCCAACTTCCCCTCCGTCTTAGGTGGTTTTGGAAGCTTCCATGGATCTGTGGGAACAGAAAATATATAAATCTAATAGTCATGAGTCTCCTCGTTGTACTCCCATTAACTTCATTTCAATAAAACTGAAGACGTAATGAAAAATATGCTTACCAGAGGTGGTGAGAATTACTTGGTTACTTCTGTGAGTTCGATCCTTATCCGTACACCAGTAAATAGTCTCATCGACATTGAGGTCAGCAGTTTGAAACACCATACTGTTATTGACGCCCTCCAATTTCAGTGAAACCATTTTTAGACTTTCTCCACCCCTGCACACCCAGCACCTCCACCCTTTCAGACCATCCTTATTTTCAAGCTTCAGGATAACTGCACCTCCCTTCCACATGTTCTGATAGCCTGTCTCAATGGTGAGTGAAGCGCTGAGACCAGATTCTGCAGGACAAATAAAGAAAATCATCTCATTATTATGTGTGAATTGTGAATTTACCTTTAGATCTGTGGAAGTTTGAGCTCTAATATGTGTTGATTGTGAATTCACCCATGACATTGACTGAAACAGGGTCACTCTTTGTCCTACTGATCTCGCACCAATAAGGGCCTCCGTCGTTTGAGTTTTTAATTTCCACTTTCAAAGTGTCTTGTCCGTCGATTGTCTCAGCATTAGGTTTGTGCCATGTCACTGAGCTCGCACTTGGATTGCATTTTAAGTAAACTGTATCCCCAATGAAGGCCATTTTAAATGCAGGTACCATCAAAACTAAAAAACGAGAGAAAAAGAAGAAATGCAATCAAGTATTTGTGTAGCCCTTCTGAGAAAAACTACAAATACACTGTTGCGCATACTGAGCAAATAATAAAGGGCAATAAATGCAGTACAGCGTGTACAAGTGACATTTTTAGAAGTAAGTGAATATGGATTACCTTGTGGTTTTTGACATCTTACCATGAGTGGCAACACTGTAACAAAAGAGCAAAAAAGTGCTTTTTAATTTGAACAAATTTACCATCAAATGAGATTTTTATCTGTGTGACATTGAGCAGGTACTGGCACTGTTAAAACAAAGGAGAATACAAGAGCATGTTCAGTGGAATTATTTCAACAAATATGAAGTAACTTAGTGGTTCACGGACTATTTTTTAAATAAAAAAAATACATTTGTGACTCAGAGTAACCTAAAATTACTGCGGTTAGGATTAAGAATTTTTAAAATTAAGTATAAATTAGTATTTGTTCAATTCAGCTGTAATTATGAGACACTGGGTGTTGTAAATATAACATTTTAGTTGATAGACTGGTGACCTGTTTAGTGCCCCTCCCCCTCCTTTCTCCCATTTGACAGCTGAGTATGCAAAGGCCGCTGTAACCCTGAATTGGACAAGTGAATGGATGGAAATAATATTTGTCAAATATCTGCTTAACTGCCTGCATATGTATGAAAGATTAACTTTACATTTATCCAACACGTTAAGAAAAAATAATATTATTCATCATTTTGAGAAAAAGTCGAATCGTGGAAAAATGCCTTGTTTAGATGAGTGAAACAAATTAATGTGAGACAACATCTTTATTGTGTGATGGTGTAACCATCAGTCCTGTTTCCTTGCATCTGTCCATTACCAGTCATTTCATTTTGTACAAATTCACTCTTCTACGTTTGTGTGGTTTTCCGTCTGACCACACGCAGCTTTCTGCACCATGTTTTCGACGTCCTTAAACCGATCACCAGACTGTGTTTATGTGCGCAAAGAGAAATAAAATCTGTTCTTGTTACACATAAAACCCGATTCATTAAGAGGAGAATTCTCCTTGATAAAGCCGCTGGAATTTCCACAATGCAACTTTTGTCTCAAATTAGATTTTTGACTTTAATCATTTTTTTCTTAATGTGGTCCTAATACTCAGTCGTGGCACTTTGTCTAGAAACAACAACTCTTAACTATACATCTTGACTTTTTTCTCAAAATGATCAATAATATATCTTTTTTCTTAATGTGGTCCTAATACTCCTTCATAAACATCATACTGCTTCATAAAATCATTTGTCATAACTCACAAAGCTTTTTTCTTCAAATTAAATAACTCCAGCGAAACTGTCAAATATTTTTTATATAATGAATAATAGATAACTCCTGTTACTTAAATGCTAACTGCAGTACAGTTTTTAATTTTTTTCTCAAGTTTAAGAAATTACAATTGCAAAGTTATAAAAATAATTCCCAGCTATGTTCGCGTCATACAACAAAAACAAAAGTCCTGCATCATGTCTCAGCTGGCTTTCTTACCTGCAATGAGCAGCAAATGCTTTCCACTCGCCATGATCAAAGGTACGACGGGCAAGAGAAGCTTCACTTTAACTCAGTCACGGAGGAGTGACAAGTGACTAACTGGCTGCTTCCCTTAATGAGTCATGTTGAGGAAGTTGAGGGAGGGCCATGCATAATAGTAGTGGAGGAAAACTATTTTTTTTAAAAACTATCTAATCATCTTAGTATACTTCAGCTTTTGACTTAGATTTTTCCTCAGTTTTCCTCCTCCGCAGTATTTTGTCCTATAATGCTACGGACAGAGAAAAACGGGAATGATTGCGGCAGTTTTCTTCACACAAGTGATAAAACTGTTCCAGTAAGCTAAAAGAGAGGAGCTTGGGAACTTTGAAGGGTGGGAAAGTTTTAGCACTCCGAAAGCTTTCCTGTGATAATGCAGGAGAGGGCTCTGGGGACACTAAAGGTATTGAACATACATGCTTACCTCATATAACGGTGAAGAACACCTGAAACAAACCACTCAAGTGCGCCATTTTATTTATTTATTTAGTTGGTTAGTTCTTCTTTTCATAAAGGCCTTTCCATATTTCATATTTTGTTTGTACAGAATTAATTTTTTTTACAGATTTTGTTCACAGAAGAATCACATAAGTAACTGAGCTCACTTTCCTAGATAAGACAATTCTTAAAATGTAGTTTAAATTATAGTACAACACAAAAATAAGTGGGTTTATCACAAAAATTAGGTTTTTTTGTCATGTGAAAGGTACAGTGGCACGTTATTGTTCTTTGTAGAAAATATCAAATTTAAAAAAGTTCCTCCTGTTTTTGTTGCTGTCGTGTTTGTTTTGCAGCAGATGCACCCAAGTGTCAACTAAACATATAGGATGCTGTATTTGTCTAGTAGTTAGTACCGTTAGTGATAAAGTGCAGTATAAAGGGTAAGAGACAAGCTGTAGAAAGCAAAAGCAAAAACAGTCAAAATACCAAAACCAGATTGAAAAAAAAGTCGATCAAGATTTCAAATCTGTGACTTGAGCACTGCTATAGAGAAGCTCTTCATTTCATTACGAGTCACAGATAAAGTTATAAAGCAAGGAAAGCTATAATGTCTCAGCAAGAGCTTTCAGGTCTAAATTCTGTGATTAATAATCATAACTGGACTGATGATGCGAGTCATTCTGAGGTAAAGTCCCCTTTTGGCAGAGATGAAAACTACTGGCTTCTGTTTGAAATTCCTGGAATAATAGCAAAGATGTGCAGACCGAAGAATAAACCCGAGGCTTTTGCTTTACATTTACAATTTACATCTTACAATTTATGGGGATTTTATTTATTTATTTATTTTGGAGTGAATTAAATTAAATCTACCACATAATGGGATCAGTCTGGTACAAGTCAACTGTATGAGTTGGTGAGCAACACTGAGCTGCAGGATTCTGGACTTCCAAACTAAATACAGGAATTCCTGGGCAGAGTGAGCAACAGACCTAAGAGAATGTGCGGCGCTTTTATTTTTCAACCAGCCGATATGTGAAACAACACAACTCAATCTCATCAACAACTAACAACCTGAGTGAATCTCTGTTTAAATATCATAATCAGACTCAAAGAGAGTTCTTTGTTTCTTCACAAAAAAAAATGGACTTCAAGAAATGAATGCACACTAAGCACTCTGCAGTAGTAGAGACCTTTACAATTCCTTGCTGTTCACATCTTGGCTGACCTCACATGGACCACAGGCATCTCATATTATTTGCACACTCCCCTCCCTCATCACTTACAGCCCATCTTCTATCAGTCCACATCAGAGAGCCTTCTGACCACTCACCACCATCTCGGGTGGCTGTAGCTCAGGAGCTTGGTGATTCAGTCTCTGGCTGCTCCAATTTTTCCATGTTAAAATTTGATATACTGATTGTTGCATAGATATAGAAAAAAAAGTGCTCGTGTGATTGAGGCAAGTTGTATAAAGTGCTTTGAGTCTGGTAGAGTAAAAGAAAAGCGCTATGGTGTGGTTTACCAGTGGCCTGAGTTATATGAGTAGTAGAGTGTGTATCGGTTAACTCTATCCTCCCTCAATTGTATTTAAATTTAGCTATCTTCAAAGGAGAGTCACACACTAAACATGTTACCCTTGTTTCTCTTATTTTTCTTTATTTGCTACCTCATTGTGTTTATCTTGAGCAACACTTTGGTAGCCTTGTCAGCCTATTAAGATATATGATGCATTCAGTGTTTTGCAATTTCTGAAGAGGTTGCCTCATGAAAGTTCTTAGAATAGGAGCTTTTCCTCTTAGTTTTTGTTTTGTTTCTTCCAGCATTGCAGTATAAGTGTTCAGAACTGACCTTCTGCTCAGTATTTGGTCTTCATGAAGCAGTTCTGAGAAATTCAGGGGAAGCTGTTGCAGTTTCTCACCAGTTCAAACTGTTGCAAACCCTTATAAAGACTGAGAACAGAAACACGGTGAGATGAGCTGTACTGCTGTTGCTACCACAACATGATGCAAATCAAAAAGAAATAAAAAGGTCATGGTGACCACACTAAGTTAACGCAAACCTAGAGTTCCCCATTTCAGGTTTAAAAACTGCATTGTAGCACTAAAAACTTTAACTGGAAATAATCTTCAGGTCAAATAGTTACATGACAGTTGGTGACTTTATATGCGCAGGTCACATCAGGACACTGTGGGTTTTACGTGTTAGATCACCCATGGCCTAATGTAACAGCTAACTCAGGGCTAGTTTAAAAAAAAACAACCAAAACAACTTCCCCTTATGGAGGCAAAGCTGAAATAAAGAACTAACAAAATAAGAAGTGGATTTGTCTGCCTTAAAAACTGACAATGTGCAGTTTCTCCTCTTCTGTTTTTGTTTCCAAGAATTTAAACACAGTTTACAGGTTTTTCTTTTTTTTTTTTAATCTATTTAGAAATAGATTTAAAAAAGCGGAAGAGATAGAAAGCCTAATCCTTTTTTAAAAGACAACTTGTTTCTACTGCTTTCCTTTTCGCCTGTTTCTTTCACATTATTCTGATAACTTAAAGAAATGTATGCAGTATTTCAGTTACTTTAATTGGCCACCAGAGCCCAGCACTGCATCAGTTTTCCTTGAGAATAACACATGAATGGGGCCTTAAGCCAGATCTGAGCCTGTTTTTACTGAATGTCTTTATGCTAAGCACTTCTCCAATAAATATATAAAAAACTATTTAATTTTAAGAGTGAATAACTGCATTTAGGGCTGTGAATATGCAAATCAGTCTAAGTTTGTGAGTGCAGAACTCATAAAATGGGATTTTTATTCTTAGGCTAACATGAATGCAGTTGGGTTTGTAGCGTTTCAGTTCATTCACACAGAAACTGTGACTTGAATTTTTTTTTTTACACCAAACCAGCGATTCAAAGTGCTTCACAGCTTAAGATTCATAGATCAATATTTTGTCTCTCATCCTTCCTCTTTTCTCTTTTTTTGCCTTTTTGATTCCACGTCTACAAAAAAAAGCTGAATTCACTAAAACACACAGGAAAATAAATAAATAAAAATCTACCCAGCATGTTCTTACTACTGTACGCTCCATCTGCCCATGACCCACTTTTCTCTCCTTGCTTGAGAGGGTTAACACAGAAAGCAGGAAGAAAGCTAGTTTCTCATTAAAAAAGACCCAAAAAAGGACATTGGGTGGCAAAAGCAGTGTAAGCATCAAGGTAGGATGAAAAGTGTGGTGAATATGCACTATGGAGTGGCGCACCATTAAAGCAGAGCAACGACTAGAGCTCTTATCAGGGGTAACAATGCAGGTGTCATGTTGTCCTTAAGAGGCTGGATATGGCAGGATTCATCTCCATCTCCTCTTAGCAGAGGGTACTGTTGTGCACATTAATGTATTTCAGCCGAGCTTTGCTTCCTCCATCCGTCTCTTTGATGGGCTCTAAAAGCTGCCATAAAGCAAGCCTCAGGACAGTCTTTTCACTCAAACACTCCAAAAGCATAAACGCTATTCACTGAAAGATACTTGTTATATAAAGTTACTTATCTGACATTAGAGCATGGAATATATCATTTCCTAATTTATCTTTTTTTTATTACCTCGTGAAGACAGCAGTCTTGCAACTTTTGCTGTTTAGTGAGTGAAGAGTTCATGTCATCTTTTGCTTCAGTGGGTAGGTCATGCACAGGAAATGTGGGTGCAGGCTGGCTGTGGGTTAATGTCAGAAGCAACTGGAAGCCGCTGCTGCTCTGCTTCTGAGTGTTTACCTTTCCTCTGCTGGCAGCCTGCCCTTGCAGCAGGTGACATGTAGCTGTCATGGGAGATGCTGTGCCATGTAAGGATACTGACTCGATTCCCAGTGGGACGCAGAGTGACGCAACCACACCTTGAGCGTGTCACAAACAAGCAGACGTCACCAGAAACTAGTGGCCTGGTGGGGTCTTTGGAAATTTACACGCAATGTCACCATCAACAGAACTGGGAGACTTTTAATTATCATCTCTGGAAAATTAGATTTCGCTTCAGTTTGTGAGCTTGTCCAAAAATGTCTGAAAAACCTACCCCGACAACCTTTTATGACGTCAGAAAAGGGAGGAATTCAACATTTCTGTAACTAATAAGCCAGGCCACACCTGACCTAACCTGCCTTAGCGCTGGGTGATTAATGTTAGTTATGACGATTATAAAACAATTATCAAAATTCTTTCTTTTACAGCAGTCCCTCCCTAAAAGCCCAGTGTCACCGCCGATGAGACTGCGGCATGTTTCGTTCACTTCAAAGAAACTTTGATCACTGACAGACTTGTAGATAATTAATGATCATTAACGGTTTCCTTTGTGTACCCACAGACCTCGGCTTGGACTGGCAGGCAGGGTCTCTCTCCTGACTGCAACATCCTTTTTTATATATATATTCAAGGAAATTTTAAATACTAACAAAGGTAAATAAATGCATGATGTTTTCAAAATTCAAATACTATATCCATAATACAGACACTCATGTTTTCCCCTTTATTTAAAGGGTTTAAAAGACAGTATGTGTCAGTAAACTCAGATTTTATTTGCCGACTTGTTTAAGAATTTGCCCATTTTTTGCAAACAAAGGTTTTAAGAGCGGGAGATACATTCATCAGGGCTGATTGCCATAATTCTTCCCAGACTTCTTTAGCTTTCATATCTAGGTTCCCAAATGGCATTTTTCTGTGTTTAAATTGTGCCCATTGTAATTGTAATTCACTTTATTTATATTATAGACATGATACCTGCTCTTAAAAGAGGCCGTAAATGAAAAACATTATTGCTACAAACTGAAGCATATTGGATTTGTACGGCACACAAAGCCACAAAGACTTGAATGAAGAAGAACTGTTAAGCTGCTCTTTTCATTTAGTTACAGAATGAATTTTCCAGTGTCTGATAACTTTAGTGAAAACATGGGTTTTTGTTTATTTTTCCAATAATTTCCAAGACGTTCAGTCATTTTCTTTCCAATCTCCTACCATGAGCTGGATGACTGAGAATCGACACCGACATCTTCTTATTGTCTTGGAACGACTGTGACCACATAATTTCCTCTGGGATTAATAACGTATTCTGATTCTGATTCATCATATCCCAGTGGTTTTAATATTGTTGTGTACTGTTGTGTTGATAGTGTTTTTGTAGAAGTGTGTAATGATGCTGATTGTGGGCACATGTTTGCTACCTTTGGCATGTTTTTTTTTTTTTGTTTTCTTGCAGGTGTCATTATCTTATTTGTTTTCTTGTTAAAGGACACTGATAACAGTCCATCTTTTTACCTTTATAAAGTATTATTTCCGAGAGTGCTGGTCTTTTCAAAAGTCAAATATTAGCCATGTAGAAATTAAAACGATATCAGTAATGACAAAAACAACTGCTGTTATAATTTTTAGGGTTTTGGAGCATGGATGGTGAAAAGAGATGAAAAGTTTAGTAGGATTTAACCAACTCTTCCTTTTTGAGTAAATTTAAAGTAAAGATTGTTTGATAGTGGCAGCATTATTCACAGGAGAAGCGTTACCATGTCTTCCCAATCTCTTATAATCAGGTAGGTGTTGATGCCATTTTCAAACATGTCATAAAAGATTTGTTTTTAAATTTCAGTCATGACAGCAAATAAGACATTTCCATCTCTGTATTTTAGAATAAGAAGTACATAAAAGCCTTTTCACTGTGAATGTGACGGACCAAGCAGTGAAGGAAAGTCAGGTAGAGGTTAAAGTTTTTTTATTTAACATTTAACTCCATAACAAACTTGGTTAAATCTGACATAAAAATCAAAATCTTGTGCCCATAAAAGAGGGCAATGTAACAGTCCTCTACTCAAAAGCTGACACAGACCTACCTAATCAAGATAAAGGGGAAACTTAAATAGCGTTATGTGTAAGCCTCTACTGTAACACTGATATTACCACTGTGGGGCTGTAACTGCAGCCATCACAGTGAAGTACTGTGTGAACATAAACTAGCAGTTTCTTAACCTGTTAAAGTAATGAATTTCAGGTTTATTAGGTAATTCAAGGTAACCACTTTTAATTTTCTTTGAATATTCCGATTGTAGAAAAGGCTAACACATCCACTGTACTGGGATCAGGGAAGTGCCAGCACCAAACGGCTCTAAAGGATAAACGGCAAGACAGCTGAGAAAACAACACAAAGATGCACCAGCCCTCACAGATTCTTCAAAGTCGAACACCAGTGGTTATCACAGCGCTTGACTGGTTGGTAAATGCTCCACATATAGTTGCAAACCTGCTAAAACAAGGCAGCACGCCTGCTATATTTATCACTGGAAAGTTCCCAAACACAAACAGATTTTTTTGCTATTTTTTTATGACCTTTCAGCATCAAGGAGACAAAGGGAGCTGTGCAGTGTGCAAACCCATGGCCAGATTGTGTGTGGGACAGATAAAAGGTGGAAATCAGTGACGTGAGTGTATCTGATTGATAAATTGGCTGACATAATAGGAGAGGAGCTATGGAGCACCAGAGAGGTGGTTGGACCGTGAAAAACTGAAAGAATGAGGCAGAATAATGAAGAAAATTGGGGATAATTGAACAGAAGAGCACTTGGGTATGAAAAAAGAGAGGGAGAGGGAGAGTGAGAACAACTGACAGATGGTGAAGAGTGGGTACACAGAGAGGAAGGAGAATGGAGGAGAGGCAGATCAATCTAGCAGCTGAAGTAAGACAGAAAGAGAGTATGCAATGCTGGAGAGGGAGTGCATGAATGTGTGTGCAACACGGAGAGAGGGAGGGGAAGAGAGAAGCTATACCAGGGCATAGAGTAGGTGAAAGAGTGTGTGTGTTTGTGTGTGTGTGAATGAAAAAGAGAAAGGGAAGCTGCACAATACAGGGGCTCGGGCTGGCTCATACCGATGCATATTTAAAGACTAGAAGGCTTGAAAATGTGATTTTGAAAGAGAAAAAGGCAAATCACTTTTTCATTTTTTCCCCTCATCTATGTTTTACTGACTGGATCTTTCTCTCATTTCTTTAATCCTGGTCCCTTTTTACTCTCTTTGTGGTTTATGAAGGAGGTCACTACGGATACAACAAGGAGCAACACAGCCTGAACTACAGACCGAGAGGTATTTAGTTTTTTGTGTTCCTCAATACTTACAGAATGTAACTGAAAGAGAACTGCTGTGCGTCTGTGTGTGTGTGTGTGTGTATCACACAACTAAACTAATATAAAGTGTTTGCAATACAAAGGAGCATTAACATCTTTATTGTGTGAACGTAAATTGAAAAGAAGGAAAGAAGGAAATGATCTTTAGCGGCGAGGTGAAAGTCACAGTGCTTATGAAGGAGAAGCTGCTGAAATTGTGACGGGGAGGGGGGGCATGCATGTCCTCTGAGGTCTAATTCACATGTTTTATGTAGGATGAGAAAAGTGGGACAGAAAACAAACAAAAAAAGTCACAGTGCCTCTAAAGAAAAGTCTGTAGCAACTGAGCAAATTACTCCCTCACAGCTGTAGGACGAATCAGTGAGCGCACACTGCTCTAATGTAATGCACACTTTAATAGATAAAGTAACAGCATTCAGCATGTGGAACGATCGTTATACATTTGTTTGCTCACAGGAGATGTAAACCTTGGAAGTTCAGTTACAACACTGCCTGCAGATGGTTTTTCTGTCCCACAGAAAATTGTGATTCTTCTTTCTCCCCTTTGTCACCAAATACAGGCTTAAAGGTTAATGCCGAGTTCGCCGATGCTGTTTTGCTGTGACCTTGACCTTCCTTTTAGTACAGTGAGATAAATTGTGTTTTTACTGGACTCTGTGCAAAGAAAATTGAAAGTCAGTGGTTCTCAAGGTGGCTTCCTAGATCCCCCCGGGGGTTTGGGACCAGGAGCCAAAGAGTCCACAAAATACCTTCCTGTTAAACACTGTGCTGTTGGTCAGCCTCCATCAGCACAACCCTCTGCCACCCAGAGCATTTTATTTACGTTCTAAACATAATATATGCACTCTGGCTTTAACCTTCACTTCATCTAGAGGATGTTTTTAAGACACTGTCAATGTTAACAGGATGAAACAAAAAGCAGCACACAGAGGGGAGAATGAAGGGTTGGGGAATGTGTCGCTGCAGACCACGTGGCACCCCTAGAGCAGTCATCCTGTGGGAGTGCTCTGATTAAGAGAAGGTACATATTTACACATGTGGACTGTTTACAACAATGGGACAGGCGTATCTTTTAATACCTCGCCCTCAGTTCCTGCTTGGCTCATTGGAAAAACACAGAAACTCTTGACTCTGTCCACGTTCTTAGGTGAAGCCAAATTAGCTAAATAGGTCTTAACATTATGAAGAGCTACCTGGGCCCAGAGCTTAGCGAGAACCATTTGTTCTAGAGGAGCTGTTAATCTGACTCCACTTTGAGTTATAACCATACATTTTTGGACTATGACTATCGCTCACTATTACCCCATTTACAAAGTCAGTTATGGCCTGTAATATGACAGTGATCCATGAATACAAGAAATGGTGGAATAGCTGATAGAGTATGTTAGAAGTGAACGTTTGGAGAAAAAAACGGTTAATACTTATGCTTATATAAAAGCTACCTACATGCCTGTATTACTACCACCCAGACACTTCTGCTGGGATGAGTTCAGAAAGAAAAAGGCGCTGAAATGGAAAGGTGAGCAGAATCAAACGGGAGCTCATCAACACCCACATTTCACACACTTGTTTAGCTGTGACTTGTCAAAATCGTTGCCTGCTCGCAGTATTTTTGGTGTCAGCTGGTGGAAAGGTGGAAACCCTCTAAGGACCCTAGAGAACCGATTGCCATGCGCATGCAGCCACACACACATACACCTAAACGCCTCATTTGGTTCAGGCTTGGGTGAAAAAAGTGCACCAGAGTATTAGCTAGAGCTATGCAACAGTGATGCATTCCAACTCTGTGCCCTTTCATCCTATAGATACCACTTAATTGACTTCGCACAACCTCCTAAGACTGGCCCGACTGTCTAATGCACAACAAGCAACGCTGGCTTTAAAAGCATACTTTTTTCTATTGCAGAATTACACTGAGGGGAATTCATTTGGGAGAAGGAGAAAATAAACAAAGAGGGCAATTTGGAGCGGAGTGGGCAATGGAAGATTAATGGCCTCCTCAAAACACAGAACAATTGATCATAATGGAACAAAAGGAAGCTGGGCGACACTATCAATGCCAGTAAGGGACTGAGCGATTATACATAATATGTGAGTAACGCCAAAAGAGAATGTGATTATGAAGCAATTGAGTGGAAGATGAAATACGCTGGACAAGCCAAACGGCTCGATGTGTCAGCGGAGATGAGCGTCTCAGAAATCAAGTTTTCCGATTCATCCTGTCTCGTCTCCTGGTGTTCTTTCCTGCCCTGTCCTCCTCAATCGGGAAGAGCGGGAGTCCATTAGCAGCCTGGTCAGTGTAGCAGATGTGACAATGCTATACAGCCCTGCAATTCCCCAGGGTTTGGTATGGAGCAAGTGTAGGACAAAAAAACAGACGTTCTGAGCGACTATTTCCAGTGACAGCTTACTGCTGTGGAAGAATACAGCTAGGCTCCATTAGCAACAAGCTTCTACTGTATATATATGAAGCAGAAATGCAAACCCTGAAAAAAATACCCTGTAAATCAGTCCCACAGGGGTATGGAGCTATGAAAAACCAATACATAAGCAAAATAAACTTGCGCATATTTTACACGTACACACAAATATTAAGTGCCATGTATATCAGGGGAATCTGATCTGAAAATTTGGTTGAAAAACAAACAAACAAACAAAAAAACTGGCCTGGCTCACTCTCTGCTTAACATTTAGTTGTCATCAAATAACCTTGAAAAGCAATTTTTTAATGCACTTCTAATTGTTATTTGTGGAGTCGATAGAGTCTCATTGCTGTGCTCATTAAGAAGAAACAGGAGAGACGAGTTGTTTCCCCTGACTCTGCAGGCTTTTCATTATTACATACAGGGAGATTTCCCCAAGGGGAAAGATCTGGAGAGTTGCCGTAAGCCATGAAAATAGATGCCAGCAAACTGCAACAGAAACTCAAACACCTTGAGCTTTACCGTTTCTGAACGCAACTTCAAATTAATGATTGAACCATTAAGTCGCAGTTGTTTAACGAAGACGTCTCAGAGAGTAGCAGCTGCATTTCAGATGCCCTGATTACAAGCATCTTAAAAAAAGGAGGAACACACTTCTGTGTTCTTGGCAGCTGTTGTTGCAGAAACCAAGTGAGAGTTCAATCTTCTTTATTACATAAAAACAGAAGTAATACATCATAAGGTGACAGAGCTCCAGCGCAAGTGGGTGATCGCACACCTTTAGGTCTTAGTATAATTGTTTCAGCTCATTAACCTCACTGTTTCCTTCAGTTGCTTTTTTTCCAGGCCCTTCTGGCTCACTTCAGAGCTGTAATGAGGTGGTGCACATCTTGTCACACTGAAGAACAGGTGCAAAAAGAAAAAAAAACATGTATTTATTGTCCAACATCTAACCTTAGTTTGGAAAAGAAAATAAGAAGTGACGTTCCCATTTGCTACTATGCAGGGATAAATGTTAGAGATCGTGTTTCTCTTTTAGCTTAACTGTTCCTGGTTTCAGATTAAGATTTATTACAAAGTTCTTGACTCGGAGAACTCGGAGAATAAAGTGAAATTGCAAAGTTATTAATGAAGGCTTCTCCAGACTGTAGCATGAATTATGCTCTGTTACATGGAAGGTGGATAAACTTTAATGGGTCCTGACAGCCACTGACATGGTTCTCACTTTGTCAGCCATGTCTAACAGCATTTATTAGTACCTTGTTGATTTTTGTCTCTCAGCGTTATCTTTAAGTCGCTGGACGTGCAAGGTAAGTAAAACTGTCACTAGCGGACACTTAATTTGTGGCCATAAAATCCACCCCAAAGCCGCAAAACCTGCACTCATGTCCGTATGTCTGACTAGTTTGCTTGTGGCATGCTTTTCATTGCATTTAATGCTTTAAGGCAGGAGCTCTGCCATTAGTATAGAAAGAAAAGGGTTTCCTTGAAAAGCTTGCTGAACGCAAGGACGCCTATCCTGGTTGGAAATGTTTTGACTTCTTCGCTGTTGCTCTTCCTGCTCCTTCTTTTGTTGTTGAGAAACAGAAGGAAACCTGCTGTACAGTCGCCTCTGAAGTCTCTGCTTTCTTGACATTTTAATGAGCTTTTTGTAACTCCGTTTGCAGCGAGTGAAAGGGAAGCTCGTGTTTTAGCAGACAACAGAGGGTACTGTTGAAAAAACACGACTGCTGTATGATGTTTGGTACTGTACGTGTCAGCACTGCACCACAGTTTAATGCAGTTAGGTGAAGCAGTCAAGCTGGTGAAGACACTGGGTTCAATCCACTAGCACACACCGGTTGCACAAAACAAGCTTGGATTCAGCGCTGCTACAGGACACATGCACATGGACCTCGATTAGGGTGTTTAATAGCAAAACTGCATGCAGAATATGCTGGTGTAATGTTACATGAAGCGTGAAAGTGCAGATTTTAAGTTAGGGAGGGTCCTCTGTCTTCAGATGGAGGAGCATTTTAATATTATATTCAGAGTCAAAAGATCTTAAAATATACAAAAACTCTGCTGTTATCACACAAACTTAACCATAACTTATGAAAACAAGGTCATGGGCCAAAAAAAGGAGAAGCTGAAGAACCCTGATTTAGATTTCCTTTTTTCTTGTTGCTTTGTTGCGTGGGCAACAACACAACATAAGCCGTGCTATCAGATTAATGTTTATAGTTAGAGAGAAGTCTCAGAAATAGCACGGGGGATGTTCACTCCTAAATCTGTGCTGCATTGAGGTCTCCCGGCCCAACCAACCAAGTTTAGCCCAAGCGAGGCCCTCAGTGCACGCTCCACCTGACCCAATTATATCCAGTCTGAGGGGAAAGATAGCCCACTTTGATCTACACAAGACCGCCAGCCAGGCTTGGGCTGACTGGTCTGGCGCTTAACGCTGCTTTCCTCTGGACACTTTTCCAGCACAGATGTGTTTGACTGCTCCTTAAAGAACTATCGACTGTGCTCGAAACATCAGGTGAGCTGCAAGTAA